AACACCATTTCAAGATAAAAACACTCGGGATGCCTGGGCAGCTCAGTCACTAAGCATCTGCCTTCGGCTCAGGTCCTGATCCCAGGGTCCTGGGATTGAGCCCTACATCAGGCTCTCTGCTCAGTAGGAAGCTTGCTTCTCCCTCTCCCATTCACCCTGCTTGTGTTCCCTCCCAGCTGTCTCTCTCTGTCAAATAAATAAAATCTTAAAAAACAAAACAAACACTCAATGAACCAGGAGTAGATGGGAACTTCCTCAACCTGATGACACACATTTATGAAAAATCCACAATTAATGTCATATTCGATGATAAAAGACTCACAGCCTTTCCCTAAGATCAGGAAAGGGCCCGCTTTTACCATTTCATCTGCTTAATTCTGCACCAGAAGTCCTAACTACGACAATTCAGCAAGAAAGAGAAATAAAAAGCATCCAAATTGGAAAGGAGAAAGTAAAACCATCCATGTTCACAAATGATAAAATACACATACAGAAAAAAAAATCCTAAAGAATGCACATACACACACACTTAGAGCTAATAACCAAATTCAGCAAAATTGGAGGATTCAAGATCAACACACAAAATTCTGTTGTATTTCTTTCTATTTTTAAAGATTTTATTTATTTATTTGACAGACAGAGATCACAAGTAGGCAGAGAGGCAGGCAGAGAGAGAGGAAGGGAAGCACGCTCCCTGCTGAGCAGAGAGCCGGATGTGGGACCTGATTCCAGGACCCTGGGATCATGAGCCAAAAGCAGAGACTTTAAGCCACTGAGCCACCCATTGTATTTCTATACACAAAGTTCTGACACAATTCTGATGTGTGGGCTTCCCCCTTACACCAAGCAACTCCCGACACCACCCGAGTACCCTCCAACGCAACTCAATTCTGTCACCCTCTACCTGGAGACAACAGCAGGTCCCACGGCTTGCTGGCGCAGTCCCACAAGACGGCAACCCCCCCTTCAGATGCCCATCACAAATTCTGGTTGTCACCTGTGCTCCTGATGGACTGGCAATACCTCAGATGTTCCAGCCGCCACCCCCTCACTGGATTCGATTGATTTGCCTCCGCAAATCACAGCACTCAGGAAAGCGTTTTACTGGCTGGATTAGATTTAACACAAAAGGGTATGAATCAGGAATGGCCAGATAGAAGAGATACATAGGGAAAGGTATGTGGAAAGCAGACCCCTTATTAATGGTTTTCAACTCTGGTCTCTCTCTCTCTCTTTTTTAAGATTTTATTTATTTATTTATTTATTTGAGATAGAAAGAGAGAGCTCAAGCATAGGGAGCGGCAGGCAGAGAGAGAGGGAGAAGCAGGCTCTCCGCTGAGCTGAGAGGGGAGCTGATGCGGGGCTCGATCCTAGGATCCCCGGATCATGACCCAAAGGCGGATGCTTAAGGTCCCCAACGCTGGTCTTTCAATCTTCATGCTTCACTCCATCACACTGGGAAGCCAGGGTCGCTCCCTGGCCAGGCCCTCCTAACCAGATATAGCAGGCTGGACCTTCCATGTAGCTTTCCTTGATCTTGACACTTCAGTGAGACCATCACCACTTTTCAGTCTCTCCTCAAGCTCCGGCCACTGGGGAAGCCACTTCAGAAGCTTCTTGCTCATTCAACAAGCACGTAGTGATGGCGGCTGCGTGGTCAGCAACTCCACCACTACCAAATTCCAAATTTCACCAATTTACACAGAACAGTGGCACCTTCTAAAGGGCTTCTCTAATTACCGCAGATAACACACTGGCTCCCAATTTGGCATCAACCAGAATTCCAATCCGGGTCTTCTACGTGCAACTGAATCCCGGGCCCTCTTCCCAGGGAGTCAGAAAAGTACACCCCCTCACCTCCTGTAAAACAGGACTGACCGACGAGGATGGGATTCGAACCCACGCGTGCAAAGCACAATGGATTAGCAGTCCATCGCCTTAACCACTCGGCCACCTCGTCCCACGTGAAGTGCTCTTTTCCACATACTCTTATCTCTCATCTTCTCCGCAGTTTCCGCCCCACCACCAGCCCCCATCTTCGGTGTGGATTTCCTAGGACCTGGCGGAGGGAGAGACAGCGGAAGGAAAAGGACTTTTTGTGTTCCTTCCCGCCGGCCGCAGCCGCGAACCCGCGCCATCCTTCACCAAGCCGCGACCGAGAGCTCTGCCACGGTTTCCCTGCCCTAAGGCGTGGGCGAGTGCACGGGTGTTTCAGAAAGCGCCTAGTCCGGGGGGTCGCACACTGATCGGGAGGGAGGGGTGAGTATCCCTGGGAACCCGGCAGGCGCGGCCGCGGGCACTTTCAGGGTTTGCAGACCGCGGCGTGCGGAGGATGCAGTAGCTCCTCCTCGCGCGCAGGGGGCGAGCTGGCGCGCCCCAAGGCCCTCTCCGGCGGGGAAGCTGCGCCGGGCTCGGCTGGCCTCGGCTCGCTTCGGCTGCGCTCGGCAGGCTGCGGTAAATCCGGGCTTGCGGCGGCTGGCGAAGGCTGCGGCCCGGTGGTCCCCGCTGCGCGCCCTGGAGCCCCGAGAGCCATGCAGATGTCCTACGCCATCCGGTGCGCCTTCTACCAGCTGCTTCTGGCCGCGCTGATGCTGGTGGCGATGCTGCAGCTGCTCTACCTGTCGCTGCTGTCCGGGCTACATGGGCAGGAGGAGCAAGACCAGTATTTCGAGTTCTTTCCCCCGTCCCCGCGGTCCGTGGACCAGGTCAAGGCGCAGCTCCGCACCGCTCTGGCCTCTGGGGGCGTCCTGGACGCCAGTGGCGACTACCGCGTCTACAGGGGCCTACTGAAGACCACCATGGACCCCAATGATGTGATCCTGGCCACGCACGCCAGCGTGGACAACCTGCTGCACCTGTCGGGCCTGTTGGAGCGCTGGGAGGGCCCGCTCTCTGTGTCGGTGTTCGCGGCCACCAAGGAGGAGGCGCAGCTAGCCACGGTGCTGACCTACGCTCTGAGCAGCCACTGCCCCGATATGCGCGCCCGGGTCGCCATGCACCTTGTGTGCCCCTCGCGCTATGAGGCCGCTGTGCCTGATCCCCGGGAGCCGGGGGAGTTTGCCCTGCTGCGGTCCTGCCAGGAGGTCTTTGACAAGCTAGCCAGGGTGGCCCAGCCCGGGATCAACTATGCGCTGGGCACCAATGTGTCCTATCCCAATAACCTGCTGAGGAATCTGGCTCGGGAAGGGGCCAACTATGCCCTGGTAATCGATGTGGACATGGTGCCCAGTGAGGGGCTGTGGAGGGGCCTTCGGGAAATGCTGGATCAGAGCAAGCAGTGGGCGGGCACAGCACTGGTGGTGCCTGCCTTCGAGATCCGCCGAGCCCGCCGCATGCCCACGAACAAGAACGAGCTGTTGCAGCTCTACCAAGTGGGCGAGGTGCGGCCCTTCTATTATGGGCTGTGCACGCCCTGCCAGGCGCCCACCAACTACTCCCGCTGGGTCAACCTGCCAGAAGAGAGCTTGCTGAGGCCTGCCTATGTGGTGCCCTGGCAGGACCCCTGGGAACCATTCTACGTGGCCGGAGGCAAGGTGCCCACTTTCGACGAGCGTTTTCGCCAGTATGGCTTCAATCGGATCAGCCAGGTGCCCAAAGGGAGAGGGCAGGGGACATGGGGCAGGAGGAGTGGTGGGCTCTGGGAGCTATGAGTGGTCCTGGATGGAAAGGAGGCAATGAGGCAGGACAGTCATAGTTCACGAAGTGTTTGGATGGTGTGGAGGACCCAGGATGTCTCCGGAGGAGTGGGAATGCTGGAGAGGGGCTTTAGGGATGTCAGTGTCGGCCTCAGCAGTCTCATCCAGCTTCACTGACCTGTCTCTCCTCCAACAGGCCTGTGAGCTGCACGTGGCAGGATTTGATTTCGAGGTGCTCAACGAAGGTTTCCTGGTTCATAAGGGCTTCAAGGAAGCTTTGAAGTTCCATCCCCAAAAGGAGGCCGAAAATCAGCACAATAAGATCCTTTACCGCCAGTTCAAACAGGAGTTGAAGGCCAAGTACCCCGACTCCCCTCGTCACTGCTGAGCCTTTCTCTCCCCTAGTCAGAGAAGTCTCAGCCTCTTCCCTCCTTAGGCCGTCCCTCAGGCCTGACAGGGGTAAGAAATGTCACCCCACTTTACAGTGGTAGCTGTGATGTTGGAACACTGGACTTGAATACGGGGTGCTGGGATCAAGTCCTGGCTTTACCACTAACTAGCTGTGTGGCCTTGAGCAAATCCCATTTCCTCTCTGAGCCTCAGTTATCCCGTCTGTAAAAAGGGAGGTGAACATACCTACCTCACAGAACTGTTGGGAGGCTCAGATGAGATGCTATATGTGAACCATTCTGTAAGCTTCGTACAAATGTGAAGTATTATTAATATTATTACAGTATTATTGTTGTTATTATTATTATTAACAATCGGGTGGGTGGGCAGTAGGAGAGTGAAAAGTATGAATGGGGCAGAACTGAGAAGTCTGAGTACTTAACAAATTGGACTTTTGGGGGAAGAAATCAGGTGAAGGCATTGAATTTAGTTCTTAGCTCTTGGGCAGAATCCTAAACTTCCTGGTTCTTCCAGCCGCCTCCGGCCTCAGGAGCTCTGGAGAAAGGAAGGGTCTGCAGGTTCTCTTCCCGATCTGTGCCCTCGAATAGGCTGGGCTGGGTTATTTGCCTACCACCGACCATGTGTAAATAAATGAGTGTTCACACCTACGGCTGGCTCCATGACTCTCCTGAACCCGGCGGGCAGGGGGTGGGGTCGTGGCTTCTTCCCTTCCACCCGAGGGATGAGGGGACCGGAGTGGGGGAAGGGGGGGAGGAGCTGCGGCCCAAGGGGCGCCGACCGCAAAACAAGGAAACCACAAGGGTCTTGCGCGGCTGCTGAAGGCCTGCGTGAATGTCGGCCGGTTGCTATGGAGACCGACCCCGCGGTATCCCAGCATGCCTCGCCCCAGCTGTCCAATTGTGAGCTCGGCGCCGGGCGCCTCCTGATAACGTATGCGGAAGTGCGGCGGGCCCCGCCTCCCGGAGTAGAGGGACGGGCGCGACGTTTCCGGGAGCCCGGCAGCCGCGGGCACCTCTCAGGGAGTTTCAGACGTCGACCCGGAGGCCCCCTCCCCGCGGTGCGTAACGCTCCTCAGGGCACCTAGTTCGGCGTCTCTGGCCAGTCGGTCGGAGCTGGCCCAGTGAGGGCCGAAGCGGAGACTTAACCGGCCGGACGCGTGCGGCGTCGCGGGCCCGCTGCTGGCCGCCGAAGAGCCAGTGACTCCCCGCCCGCGGCGCCGGCGCAGACGGGAATGGAACCGGGCGGGAGGGTCCTGCCGCGCCGCACCGCGCCGCGTAGGGGTCTGGATTGGCTTTCTCTAGGGAGAAGAAGCGGCCTTCCGTGGAGGTCTGCCCTGGAAGTGCCCACTTTCTAAAAACATAAATTGCCTATGTTCAGCGCCTTACAATTGCCTTTTCCATCCTTTACCCCTTGCGATCACTCACAGTAGCGGTGTTTATCCTCCTTTTGCGCCCGGGGTAAGGAGGGGAGATTGTGATTTAATTTTGCTCACTCAGTAGAGTTAGAGACATCTGGAGACAAGAGTAAATATATATGTATTTAACAATGAAGAGGAATTGCAAATTGGCCAAACTTCAGTAACTCAGGCTTGAGAATGGGGAAGAATGAGGCTGGTTTGGAGAACTGAGGTTTTCAGGTCAGATTCAGATCATCTGTGAAACCCTTGAGGAATGCGACTAAGCCGCTCCTTGAGCCAGTTATTTGACATAACTCGAATTGTGTTAAGAAAAGTTAACAGAATACTTCAGGTTTGCAACCACTGCAGGGTCCTGGGGCAACCAAGAAGTAAAAAGCCTGCCTGAAAAAGTGCTTTGTTTCGTTTGTATTTGTGGCAGCGGCATCAGCGCGCAGGAGAGGCCTACAGCCTGGTTAGGCAGACAGATGAGAAAATGGGCAATTAGAGAGGAGATGTAAACACGTAGGGCTTCCTGGAGGAAGTGGCGTTTACACTGATCTAAAGGTCTACAGAACTGGACCCAGAGAGGTTGGAAGAACATCGCAGTGAAATCAAGCCTCCAGTAGGTGGAGAGATTAACTATTGGGAGGACCATTTAGTCTTCCTCTTCAGTATCTCTTGGCAACATTTGGCAGTCACCGTCCTTCCGTCTGAAGTTATTTCTCCCCATGACTGAGTTTCTCTTCTTCCGCCTCTTGCTAATTTCCTTCTCCTTTGCTGGGTTTTCATCACCTGCCCCTTTGGTGGCCCTGGGAGTCCATCCTGGACCTCTTCTCCACACATTCTGCCCTGCTGGTTCCACTGGCCTCTCCCTTGACCTGAAGAACTCTCTATATGCCGGTGACAGATACCTGCAGCCCAGATTTCTCTCTGAGGCTTAGACTCATGTGCCCCTTCTCTCATTTTGGGGTCTGTGCACACACTGTTCACTCTGCTTAGAATGTTCCCTCCCCAGCCATCTCCGTGATCCTCTGGCTGAGCTCTCCATGCTGATGCTGCGGCAAGGATCTCCCTCTGCAAACCTTCACTGTTGGAGCAAGCTCCTGGTTCCAGTTAGATGCCTCTCCCATATACGCCCCGCCCCCATCTTAGCCCTTCTCACACTACAGTACTGTCTGCTGCTCTGCCTCTCCCAGGAAGCTGTAAATTCCTTGAAGTCAGAGACTGTCTCTGCCCTGTCATGCCCTGTCGTGCCCAGCATCTCCTGTGCTGTCTGAAGGTACCTGGCATGTGTTAGGTCTTTAATAAATCTTAGATAAGTATATAAAAGAAAGAATGACTAATAGAGATTCCTGGGTGGCTCAGTGGGTTAAAGCCTCTGCTTTTGGCTCAGGTCATGATCCCAGGGTCCTGGGATCGAGCCCCGCATCGGGCTCTCTGCTCAGCAGGGAGCCTGCTTCCTCCTCTCTCTCTCTCTGCCTGCCTCTCTGCCTACTTGTGATCTCTCTCTCTGTCAAGTAAATAAATAAAATCTTTAAAAAAAAAGAAAGAAAGAAAGAATGACTAATAGTGTTCAACTAAGGGAAGCAGGAAAAAAACACTGGCATTGGGCACCAGAAGGTTATCTGCTGCCACAGGACCATAGAGAAATGGAACGGAACATCTGGGAGATGAAAGGGTTGGAACAGCCAGAGCCTTTAAAAGCGTAGCTGTGAGTTGGGAAATGGGGAGTAGTTAAATGGAATGGGGCAAGGTTTTGTGTTTCTGCTATTTCTAAATGGGAGGCAGTATCCAAACACCTCTAAAGTTTCGTGGGCCGGAGCTGTCAAAAGGGAGCATTGGAGAAACAGTGGAGGCAGGGGTGCTGGTAGCCTGAGGCTCCAGAGAAAAGAGAAGGACATGACAGGGCCGGGGGGGGGGGGGTGACCCAGAGCACAGGGAGACGGGAAGGGAATCGCAGAATGTTCTCAGGAAGAGAAGTGGAGGGCCTTGCCGGGGGACGACCAACAGGAAGGGGTGGAGAGGAGGACAGAAGGGTGTACTTAAGGATTGACTGTGAGATGGTGGAGTCAAGGAGCTGGCCCAGTCCTTCAGTCTGTGCGGGGCCTTAAACGCCCCAATCACAAGTGTGTGTCCAGTCCCCGAGGCAGTGGGGACCCCACCCTTGGTGTTTCCCATCTTAAAGACCATCACCTTGGCCAGCATTCCCCACACTGGGATCAGCAACAATGTCCCAGGACGTGAGCATTTCCATGGCTCCCAGGCCTCGGGGAGATGTGCGCACAGGGCTTGGTTTGACTCCCCGCATGGCCACTTCCTGCTTATGATAAGCGATGGCTCCCCTCCTTCTCCCAGAGCCGAGATGCCCGTCCAGCCTCCGAGCAAAGACACAGAAGAGATGGAAGCAGAGGGTGATTCGGCTGCTGAGATGAACGGGGAGGAGGAAGAGAGCGAGGAGGAGCGGAGCGGCAGCCAGACGGAGTCCGAGGAGGAGAGCTCAGGTGAGTTCCCCAGTGCGCACGCGAGGGCCCACACGTGCCCGCCCGCTCCTCGCAGCCGGCGCTGACTGGCCTCTTCTCCCAGAGATGGACGATGAGGACTACGAGCGGCGTCGCAGCGAGTGCGTCAACGAGATGCTGGACCTGGAGAAGCAGTTCTCGGAGCTAAAGGAGAAGTGAGCGTGGGGCGCCTGGGGCTGTGTCTCCCGGGGCCCCCTGGGCGTGGGGGCGCGGAGGCGCGGAGGCAGCGGGCTGGTGCTGGGCACGGGCGTCTGAGGACCTGCCGCGCAGGACCGGCCACGTGCTTGAGGGACACACATGCTCTGCCTTTTCCTTCCCAGGTTGTTCAGGGAACGGCTGAGTCAGCTGAGGGTGCGGCTGGAGGAAGTGGGGGCTGAGCGGGCACCTGAGTACACAGAGCCTCTGGGGGGCCTGCAGCGGAGCCTCAAGATCCGCATTCAGGTGGCAGGTCTGTGGGCCGTCCCGTGCGCTGGGGCAGCCCCCGGGCCTCCCCTCTCTGCCTCTGCCGGAGCCTGGGGCTCTCTGCTCCCCGCTCTTCCCTTCCCTGCCAGGCCCTGCTCCTGGCTCCCTATCTGGGACACGCAGGTCCCTGGCCAAGCCGGGCTTCCCATCTCCCCTCCCCGCTGTAGGGATCTACAAGGGCTTCTGTCTGGACGTGATCCGGAACAAGTACGAGTGTGAGCTGCAGGGAGCCAGACAGCACCTGGAGGTGAATGTGACGGGGTGGAGGGTGGGGGGGTGGGGACAGCGGAAGTGGCTAGTCCCCACCGCTCGCTGAGCCTGAGTGGCCCCACTTCTTCCAGAGTGAGAAGCTGCTGCTGTACGACACCCTGCAGGGGGAGCTGCAGGAGCGGATCCAGAGACTGGAAGAGGACCGCCAGAGCCTGGACATCAGCTCCGGTGAGGCTGCCCGGCGCTGCTCTCTCTGTGCCATCCCCCCCCACCCCTGCTCTGCCTGCCGGGGGAGCGGGGAGCGTGCCAGAGACCTTGCTTCATGGGCTCACCGTGTGGCCCAAACGGAACCAGGCACAGAAAGGACCCTGCCCAGTGCCTGGTGCACCAGGGAGGCTCAGCAAAAGTGGGCCCCCCCCGCCACCCACCTTGATCCCTGCTCTCTTTCTAGAACAGGAGGTGTCATTCTGACACCCCCACGCCTACAACAGCCACAGGTTCCCCCCATGTCCGCAGCGCCTGTGTTCATGGGGCGGGTCCTAGGGAGGCCTCAATGGTCATTGGGCACCGCCCACTAAACAGATGAAGAAACTGGTTGGACAGAAGTACAGAGCCCCCCGGCCCCCCAGGCTCGCACAGCCTTGCGGTCCTCGGGCCCTGACCTCCGCTTCTAAGCCCCCCCTCCCCCGGTCCTGGCTCTCTCCACCAACCTGGGAGGAAGGGGAAGGGCTGGCCTGGCTCCTATGAGGGACCCAGCTCCAAGGGCAGAGTGTCCTGGGCGAGCCAGCACCTTGATCCTGACTCTGGCTTTGGGGGCACAGAGTGGTGGGATGACAGACTGCACGCCCGAAGCAGCACAAAGACCTGGGACTCCCTGCCGGCCAGCAAGAGGAAGAAGGCTCCTCTCGTCTCTGGTATCCTTCCCCCAACGGTGGCCTGAATCTGACATCATCGGGGTTAGCGCCACCCCAGGGAGTGGGTAGAGGCACGTGGAAGGCGGAGTCACACCGGACACATGAGGTGACTCCAGCTGTCGGGAATTTTCTAAGGCCCTGGGTCTCTGCCAGGCTGTGCGGACCATAGAGAAAGAGCAGCGCCCCCTCAGTGAGTCCCTTAGCTTCCTGAGCAAAGTCTCCTTTGAGGCTTTCCCTCAACAGCCCGGGCAGGTCCCACACTTTCCCACTGCCACCTGCCTCCCCCATCTGCTCTCACTTTCCACCCGCTTCTCGGAAAGTCGTACTGCCTGTCTGTGCCTGGTCACGGCTTGCCTCACCTCCTCTGTGAAGCTTCTCCTGGTTTCCTCGCAATGGCGATAGCTTCTCTGTCTTCTGTACCCCTGCGGCCTAACCCGGGACACCCTCATCCCATACACAGTTGCCCCCTGCCCGCCCTTAGGCGTAAGCCCCTTTAGCCCCGGGCCTGCTGAGCCCTCATCCCTCCTGGCAGTGTCCGGCACATGCAGAACAGAATCTGCAAGTCCTCCACCCCCACGCCTGGGTACTCCGGCCATCAGACTCTCGGGACCTGGCCGCCTGGTGATGGCTGTCGCGTCAGGCAGGGAGGGAAGCATCCAGGCTGCAAAAACTTGAGGGGTGAATGGGGGGCAAGGGTGTGGAGACATCAGGTACAGAACCCGGGAGGAGTGGGAGTGTGGGGAGTGGGAGAGCAAAGGAGGGTTGATTCCCGGATGGAAGGGACTGAGGTCTGTGTGTGTAGAAGGGACAGGAAGGGGACAGGGTTTTTACCTCCTGACTTTTACACTGGAGGGACGATGAAGGGGGAGCACTGGGGAGGTAGGGGTGAGGCTTAGTACCCTCCCCCCAGACTTGTGAAGAGGACACAGGCCCTGCCTTAGGAACCTGGGAGCCAAGAGGTGGGAGGCAGAACCTGAGCTTTCACCGGGGTCCTCAGCCCCCTCGCCGCTGTGACACCTATCCCCTCCACCGGGCTTCCTGCTTCCTTGACCCCTGTTGCAGGTCCTTACATTGTGTACATGCTGCAGGAGATCGACATCCTGGAGGACTGGACGGCTATCAAAAAGGTGGGGCCAGGGCCCCTGCTTCCCCGCGCGGGTCCCCGTCCCTGACACCAGCTTTGGTCTCTGCGGGCTCATCACACCTGGGCTTCCTGAGGGCCTGGGAGCCCTGCTCGCCCTCAGCACCTCCTGCCTTCAGCCCAGGTTCCCTGGCATTGGCCTTTTTTAGAGAGAGAGGGAGAGAATGCGTTTGCATGTGCGAATGGTGTGGTGGGGGGAGTGGGGAGTGCAGAGGGAGAGAGAGAATCCCAAGCAGGCGTCGTGCCTAACACAGAGCCCAATGTGGGGCTCGAGCTCTTGACCCTACTGAGCCGAAACCATGAGTCGGAGGCTTAACCGACTGATGGCTTAACCCAGGCGCTGGCCTGAGACTTCCCGGAGGAGGGACCTTTCAATCTGTGTCAGCCCCTTCCTCCTTCCGGGGCAGGTTTTGATGGGATGGGAGGCACTGACCCAGCAGCGCCCCTACCCCAGAGAAACTGATGTGGAAGAGGTTGCTTGCCCAGCTGGAGGCAGGCTCTCAGGAGGCCTTTTCTTCTTACCCACCCAGGCTAGAGCAGCTGTGTCCCCTCAGAAGAGAAAAGCAGATGGTAAGACCCACAGGAGTTGTTCCGCCTCCTGCCCCCACCCCCAGCCCAGCGTCCTCGGAAAGAGCCCAGAGAGAGACAAGGGTTATGTCAGATCAGTGGCCCCCGTTAGAATGGTTGGCGTTTGGGGGTTTGGGCAGCCAGAGCCGGGGTAGGGATAGGGGATGAAGCTTCCCCCAACCAGGACTGGGTAGGGGGCGCTGGAATGCTGGGCCCATGCTGAGGGCTGTGGAACTGCCCTGGACCACCCCAAGGCCGGCCGCAGCCCCAACAGGCAGTGGTGTCCCCTCTTGGTTCAGCTTATCACCTGCAGTGCTCTCCGCTTCTGGCATTCCCTCAGGACCGTGACCCTGCCGTTCAGAGCCAGGGGGCGCCTCGGAGCAGCTGGCCGCAAAGCCAGGATCCACATTTTCCTGCTGTGAGAAGGCAGGCTGACAGGGTCTGTCCAGCCAGCTCCCCGGTACTGCTAGTGGATCTTCCCCTCCAGCCATCACTGGTCCGGACTCCTCTGCCCTCCTCGGGGGGCCTGCACAGCTGTGGCCCAGAGCTGCCCTAGCCAGGCAAGACTGTCTCCTCCGTCCCCAGCGAGTGCACCGGCGCCGCCTCCCAGAGGGCAGCCTCCTCAGTGCTGTCCCAGACAGAGAAGGTGGGACTCCTCTTACACCAAAGCAGCATCCTTCCTGCTGACCTTGGACCAGTCACTGAGCCAGTGAGCTGGGCCCCATTTCATGGGAACTCTGAGCCAGACATCATATTTTGGGGGGGCCTGTCTTTTCTGGCTGCTGTTGGAGGTGAAAAGGCAGGTTCCCCAGGTCTTCTCCAGGAGGTTCTTGGTGTCTCCCAGATTTCAGGGACTGGAATTAAAACCTTTCCTGGGACCTCGGTGTGAGCTGTGTGTGTCTGATTTACCTTGCAAGAGAATCAGGGCTCCCCCAGGGAGTGCCTGAGTCAGGGGGGGGGCTCTTCCTGGAGTCCCCCGTAGCTCCCCTCACTAGCAGGCAGGAGCCAATCTACTCTTGAGTGGGGCAGAGGGAGGGGAAGGGGGGACTCGCCCACCACACCTCCCAGGGGTTGGGGAGTGAGCCCTGGCTGACCGAGGCTCCCAAGCAAAGTTTGAAGCAACATGTAGCACAGGCAGACCATGTGTCCCGGCCTGTGCTTGGAGACTGGGTCATGCCTGCGCCTGTCCCAGTCACTTGGCAGATCGGTAAGGCAGGCTGGTGGGGCCTGCACGTGTAGGAGGCAGCCGGCAGCCGCATGGGGCGCTGACGACCTCACAGCCAAGCTCCCCCCCTGTTGAGCACCGAGTGTTAGAACCACCCCCAGAACCTCAGTTAAGCAAGGGGGTTAGTTTCCATGGAGATACAGCATCCTCTCTCCATGGCAACCTGAAGTCCCAACACCCAAGGTAGGCTCAGGAATGAGTCATCTGGGGCTAGTAGGGGTTGCCCTCCCCACCCCTGCTGACCCCAGGGCCTCGCACAGATGAGCAATTGACCAGCAGACTTAAAGGTTCGGGGTGGGGGGGTAAACTTGGGCCTGTGGGGGCCCAGATGGGCCCTGCTTAACCCCTTCCCGCCTGCTTGTGTGGTTTGAGGACGCCGGTAAGGCTTCCGGGCGCACCGTGCGGTGGGGGCTGGCCCCGCAGCTGGGGCTCTCGGAGTGGCGCTCGCACGGATGGGATCCCTGGCCCCTGAGACGGGGCCCAGAACCGAGGAATCCGGGCTTGGCCCAGGCCGAGTGGACACCCAAGAGTTAACTGGCGGGGCGTGACAGGGCGAACCGCCCTCAGGAAGTGTTACTCACCGCCGGGAATGTGAGCGCTCCTGCCTCGGGGGCTGGATTCTCCTCCCGAGTCCTAGGAGAAACCGGGAGAGACCCAAGGCGCTCTCAGCCATGGAAAGCCCCCGGGAGCCAGGAGCTGGGCCTCTCGGAGCCCCCAGCCTGCCCAACTTCGCACCTGGGCGCCCGGAGAGAGAAAAGTTAGTGAAGTTGGAAGGGCAGCCTGGTGGGGGGGGGGGTGGCAGAGCAGGGTCTGCCCCAGGGCCGAGGAGCGGGAGAGGGCGGAGCAAGGGTCCCACCGCCTGCCACCCCCGCCACCCTCTCAAGTCTGCCGCCCACCCCTAGGCCCGCCGAGGACCCGCCGTACGACGTGCCTGGAGCCGGCGGGCGGCCGGCGGGCGGGCCCCAGCGGCCCGGGCGCAGCGTGAGCCTGCGGGAGCGCTTGCTGCTCACGCGGCCGGTGTGGCTGCAGCTGCGGGCCAACGCCGCGGCCGCGCTGCACGTGCTGAGGACTGAGCCCCCCGGGGTGAGTCATGGCTCTGAACCCGGACTGGCCGGCGGGGGGTGGCGGCGGCGGCGTCGGTTGTTGGGGGGGAGAGAGAGGCCAGAGGCAGAGGTTCTGAGCGCCCGACCCCTGTCCCTTGCAGACATTTCTGGTGCGGAAATCCAACACTCGCGGGTGCCAAGCCCTGTGCGTGCGGCTGCCCGAAGCCAGCGGCCCCTCCTTTGTCTCCAGCCACTACATCCAGGAGAGACCTGAGGGTGAGCGGGACTGGCCTGGGGGGAAGGGGCTGGAAGCAGTCAGGGCCGGGCGCAGGGGTGTTTCCCAGAGAACAACCGCACTTCCCATCTCTCAGGCGTCTCCTTGGAGGGCTCAGAGCTCATGTTCCCAGACCTGGTCCAGCTCATCTGCGCCTACTGCCACAGCCGGTGAGCCTGGCCGCAGGGTGCCTGGTGTCCTTTGGTCCCGGTTCCCTGGGACAGTCTGTTTTCCCAACCCCTGCAGGTCCTGTCAGCCCCCAGAGCCCTGAGCATCCCTCACCCCGGGCTTTCTGTTTCCCTCTCTGGCCTCAGGGACATCCTTCTCCTCCAGCTCCAGCTCCCCAGAGCCATCTGCCAGGCAGCCACCCACAAGGAACTGGAAGCCATCTCCCATCTGGGCATTGGTAAGGGCTCTTCTGCTACCCATTGCACAGATAGACAAGCTGAGGGCAAGAAACAACGTGAAGGCACGTGGGCACATGGCCTGAGCCTGTGCCTTCATTTGGGCACCTTCCCCAAACCTCCCTGACGCCCCAACTGGTTTCTCCTCCCTAGAGTTTTGGAGCTCCTCCCTCAACACCAAGGCCCAGCCGGGCCCATCTGAAGGCCAGCTGCTGCCCCGGCTGAAGCCCCGGTCCCCACAAGAGCTGGACCAGGGCACGGGAGCCGCCCTGTGCTTCTTCAATCCCCTGTTCCCAGGGGACCTGGGCCCCACCAAGCGGGAAAAATTCAAGAGGAGCTTCAAAGTGCGTGTGTCCACAGAGACCTCCAGCCCTCTGTCACCACCTGCCGTGCCACCTCCCCCGGTCCCCGTGCTGCCAGGTGCAGCCCCCAGCCAGATAGAAAGCTTCCCCCCTCACCAGCTTCTGCAAAGGGAGAGCTCAGTGGGGTACCGTGTGCCAGGGGGCCCCAGGCCCAGCCTCCCACCTCTGCCCTCCCTCCAGGAGGTAGACTGCGGCTCCCCCAGCAGTTCAGAAGAGGAGGGGGCACCGGGGTCCCACAGAAGCCCAGCGACCTCCCCTGGCCTGGGCCGCCGGCGGCCCCTGCTTCGGTCCATGAGCGCGGCCTTCTGCTCCCTGCTGGCGCCCGAGCGGCAGGTGGGCCGGGCTGCCACAGCCCTGGTGCAGGACAGACACACGGCTGTGGGCCAGCTGGTACAGGACCTACTGACCCAGGTGCGGGCTGGCCCTGCACCCCGGGAGCTGCAGGGGGTCCGAGAGGCACTAAGCCGGGCACGGGCCATGCTGAGCGCGGAGCTGGGCCCTGAGAAGCTGCTGCCTCCTGAGAGACTGGGTGAGACCTGGGGCTCTCCACTGGGCTCTCCAGAGTGCTAGTTCTTTCCGCTCCCCGCCTCTCTCCCGCTCTTCTCCTGTCTCACGGAGATTCCCCCCAACTTGCATCCCTCCGTGCCTACAGCCCCCCTCCACTGGCGCCCCAGTTCCCCTGACCCGGCCCACCTCTCCCCTGCAGAACACACCTTGGAGAAGTCGCTGCATCGCTCCGTGCTGAAGCCTCTCCGGCCCATCCTGGCGGCCCGCCTGCGGCGCCGGCTCTCCACCAATGGCTCCCTGGGCCGCCTGGCTGAAGGCCTGCGCCTGGCCCGGGCCCAGGGCCCTGGAGCCTTTGGGGCCCGCGTGAGCCTCCCCTCCCCGGCCGAGGTGGAGCAGGTTCGCCACAAGCTGCTGCAGCTGCTCCGGGCCTACTCGCCCAGCGCCCAGGTCAAGCGGCTCCTGCAGGCCTGCAAGCTGCTCTACACGGCCCTGAGGACCCAAGCAGGTACGCCCCCTCCTTTCGCTGCCCACCGGCCCCTGCCGGCTCAGAGGCAGGCCCCCCGGAGATCCCAGACTGGCGCAGCAGCCTGGGGAACGGGCCCAATCTCCCACAAACGGTGCAGCTGAGGCCCAGAGAGTATAGAGTGTCCTCCTCCCCAGCATCTCCGCTCCCCCACCCTGCCCCCGCTGTGGTCACCATAGAGACCGCATCCCCCAAGGCCCGCAGGTGGAGGGGAGGGTCACTGTCTGAAACACAGGGTGGACACCAACCCTGGGGCCCGAGCAGAGTCTGAAGCTTCCTTCTCTACTGCCCCACAGGGGAGGCCGCGGGGGCAGATGAGTTCCTTCCGCTGCTGAGCCTTGTCCTGGCCCAGTGCGACCTTCCCGAGCTGCTGCTGGAAGCTGAGTACATGTCGGAGCTGCTGGAGCCCACCCTGCTCACCGGAGAGGGTGAGGGAGCGCCTCCGCGTGCCACCAACCTGTGTGGGGTGGACTGGGCCGCTTAGGGGCTGCATAGCCCCCAGGAAGGGGGGGGGCGTGGCGAAGCCCGAGCTGCATTCTTCCCCTTGTGTCCCAGGCGGGTACTACCTGACCAGCCTCTCCGCCAGCCTGGCCCTGCTGAGTGGCCTGGACCAGGCTCACACCGCGCCCTTGAGCCCCTCACAGGAGCTGCAGCGCTCCCTCAGCCTCTGGGAGCAGCGCCGCCTGCCGGCCACCCACAGCCTCCAGGTACGGGGTCTCCCCGCCAGCCGCCTGAACTGCCCCGGCCGGGGCGCAGTGGGGGTGGCGGGGTTCTGGCGTCATCCTGCGCAGTCTGCTCCTTTTCCTAGAGAGACCCAGCAGGGGAGAGAAGCAGCCCCCTGTGTGGACGTCCACGCCTCGCCTTCCTCGAGAGGGCGCGTTCCGTGTGCTCTGGGGGCTCAGCCCTGCAGCTTCAAAGAAACTCAGCCTTAGGACCATTATTATCCCATTTTACAGATGAGGAAAGAGACGTGACATGGAGGGGGAAAGGGACGCAGGTGGCAAACTCACGCCCCAAATCTTAGCTTCTAGCGCCCCTCCCCATGGGGCTCTGCCCTCCCCTGGAGTGAGGCTCCCCGCCCATGCTCCCCGTACCCTCCTCTCCATCCAGCCCAGGGACCCTCCCCAGCCTCGGTGAGGACTTTGGACCCTGCAGCCAGATGCCGGCTTCACATCCAGCCTCAGCTACTTTCTGTTTGCAGGAGTGGGGCACCTTACATAACCGCGTTGTGCCTGGCTATCCTCACCTATAAGCGGAGGCAACAGGAAGTGGCTCCTGGGGCCCATGTGTGGATGAGATGAGCGAATGCAGGATGGGCGCTTGGGCCTGGGGGAGGCTCCGGGGAGGGCCGTCAGGCTCTGGGCAGCTGCTGGGGCCATCCTTTCCGCGGCCAGCCCTCAGCTCTAACCCACTAGCCAAGGCGGACCTCACCTTTCCGCAGCTCCCTTTATCCAAAAAGCTTTTGTCACTCGGCTCTACCCCTGGATTTATACCCCGCGCCCCGTCCCTGCAGAGCCTACCCTGGGACCTCAAGCTGTACAGCCAGAGACGGAGCAGGCAGGACTGAGCTCTGGCTTCGCTTGTCTTCCTGCACAGTGCCTCCTCCGAGTAGCCCACCAGGACCCCAGCAGTGGCTGCACCTCCAAGACCCTGGCTGTGCCTCCAGGAGCCTCGATTGCCACCCTGAACCAGCTCTGTGCCACTAAGTTCCGAGTGACCCAGCCCGACACTTTTGGCCTCTTCCTGTACAAGGAGCAGGGCTACCACCGCCTGCCCCCTGGAGCCCTGGCCCACAAGCTCCCCGCAACCAGTTACCTTGTCTACCGCAGGGCAGAGTGGCCTGAGACCCAGGGGGCCTCGCCTGGGGCTACACCGGAGTTTGGCAGTGGGGAGCCAGAGGCAGGAGGCAGGGAGTTGGAGAAAGGGGAGGGAGATGGGCACATCGGGGTCAAAGCCAGTCCTGGGGATAGCCAGGGAGAGTCTGACACCAGAGCTGAGAGGGCCAAGGCAGGGATGGGCCAGGCCAGGGGGGCCCCTGCTCAGCCAGGGGGGCCAGAGGCTGCGGGAAGCCAGGCAGCAGAGGAGTAGCCGGAATTGATCAGAAGGGTCATTTGAGACAGAAAGCTGAGCCTGCTGGGAAGGCCTCTCAGAGCCATCAGCCCCACCCCTGCAGGCTTCCCCACCCCAGCCACTCCTGACCTCCTGAGTCCGCCACCACCCCATCTGATACTTCCCTCCGTGATCACACCTGCTGAGGTGGCGCCTGGCCTGGCCGCTTCCAGAACACTGGAATCAAGTTGAGTGGGTTTGAGGGACCCCAGACCCAGGGCTCAGGCCCTCTGCCTCTCGCCCTTCCCTTCCAGCTGGAGGCCAGCCAGCCTTCAGTGCCGTGTGTCCAACGGGACAAACCCAACAGGTGCCCGGTCACTGGCAGCCCCTCCCGGCTGCTGGCTTCAGGGCCGAGAAAGGCTTCACCTGTTCCTGGGTGTCAGGAGGATTCAGGGAACCAACACGGGCCCAGAGCCCAGGCCAGCCGTAGCCCAGCTGGAGGACCAGCAGCTCCAGACTTCAGTGTCCTGGAAAGAGAGGGGCCCTGCCTTCTCCGACAAGTCCCCCAGAGGCCAAATGGATGGTTTTGCTGCAAAGCAGAGCTCAGGCTAGAGGGAAGGAGAGGGTAGGAGCTGGGATGTTAGCGGACCACTCCCCCCAGGGTCTGTTGTGTACATTCATCGAAGGCTCTCGTCCATCCACTCGGGGAGATCCAAGAGATCAGGTCTGGCCAGGGAGCACCCAGGCCCCAGTCTTTCTTCAAGGTGGGAATTTCTGCCATGCACTCTGGCATCCCAGGGGACTTGGACAGAGGAGATGGGCTTCCGAAACAGAAGGAGTGCTTGGAAACCATTTTCTCTGCACTTAACTCTTCTGGACCTCACACGAGCTCTACAGAAGGCTGGACATGGCTTATTACACACTGTTTGAGAAAATGACTCCTAAGATACCAATCGCATAGCCAGACATTACAGCCTCCCCACCCAAACCAGGGTGTCAGGCTCCAACTACGTGCCCTCTCTTCTAAGCCACCAATAAATTAAACCTAAAGGCCCTACAACCCCAAGTTGGGGCCCAGGGCAGGGAGCCAATGGGAGCAAAGGAAATGCCAGTGATGACCACAGAGGGGTGCGTGTGGCCCAGGAAGTGGCCAGTCGGTAATTGCCAGGGGCGAGTGTCTTCCTGCTCAGTCTCCAGAAGGCCCGAAGCGAGTTAGGTGGCCAGAGACCCTGTACTCCTGCAGCCACCAGGAGACCTAGGGTCAGTGCAGGGCCCAGCACCGCCAGCCTTCAGCTCCCAGATTTCAGGCAAACTCTGGAGGAATCACTCCCTGGAAAAGAACTGTCCCCTGGTGGAAGGAGGACCCCGGCCGGGCTCTGGGGTACGCCCTCAGGTGTTGACCACAAAGGGACATCATACCCCACGTGAGACAGACATGACAACTGAAAGGTAGAAATCCTGGACATTGGGATTTCCGACAGTCCAGAGACAGATGCACCAAATTTGGGTGCATCGCTCTCCAATGTGTCACTAGAGCCACCGGCCGCTCTTGCCTCCCCACTTCCACCCCCACTCCAAGCTTCCTGCTGGCAGGGAGTCTCCCCCTTTGTATGTCCCCCTCCCTATCTCACCCCCACCCCCCAGTGCCTTGCCCCGCGCTGGGCACTGCACCGGTAATCAATAAATGTTGTCCCCTAGATTGGAGTTTGAGAAAAAAGATTGAAGGGCAATGAGGTGGGAAGCTGGGAGGTTAAGAGGGGGGCCTGGGTTCTGGGAACCAAACAGGATGTCTCAAGTTCAGTTCCAGAGGAAAACCTAGAACAACCGGTTGCCAGGGGTGCTCAGAGAAACCCGGATGTGGAGCTGGCCTCACTGGAACTGGGTCTGGCAGAAGCTTCTGAGCCCCTTCCTTTTGGCCCTCTGCAAACCCCTCCTAACCCCTTACTTTTTTTTTTTTTAAAGATTTTATTTGACAGAGAGAGATCACAAGTAGGCAGAGAGGCAGGCAGAGAGAGAGGGGAGGAAGCAGGCTCCCTGCAGAGAAGAGAGCCCCATGCGGGGCTCGATCCTAGGACCCTGAGACCATGACCTGAGCCGACGAAGGCAGAGGCTTTAACCCACTGAGCCACCCAGGAGTCCCCTCTTAGCCCCTTACTGTGCTCAGTCCCACTTCCAGGCTCTGGGAATTTAGTAACCCCCTCCCCTGCTCAGAGCACTATGGGGCCCTTCCCGCTACTGAGCCTTTTGAGTTTTCGTCTCAAGACATCGTGCTTGGTCAGGGGCCAAGGCCAGGTAACAGCACGGTCAAGGGTCACCGTCCGGAGGTGGGGACTCCGAGCAGGGCAGGCAAGGATAGGCTGGTCTGAGACTGAGCTCATTCCCATTTTACAGATGAGGAAACAGGCTTGCTCAGGATAAGTGGTTTAGTACAGGGCAAAGGGCTGGGACCCAGTTTCCGTGGAGCTTCGGGATTCTGCCCTCCTCCAAGACAGAAGCACGCATTTACTTATCCTCTCAGCAATAATCAACTGCGCCCGAACGGACCAAGCACCCCCAGCCCCGTCGGATGGAAAACAGAGTGATTGACAGGAAGAGCGCGCCCTGGGTGCCTCGGTATCTAGCCCTGCCCCGCCCTCACGCCGCCTTCCACCTTGGCCTTCAGGAAGAGGACGCCCGGCGAGACGAGCCGCACCTGGCCAGCAGGCACCGCTGCAGAGCAGGGCGCGAAGGCGGGCGTTTGGCTCGCAAGCAGCCGCCAAGTCCTTTCCTCGCCCGGAAACGTTGCTCTTAGCAGCCCTAGAGTCGCAGCGGCCCTCTGTGTGAGTTTGTGGTCATCTTCCCCACCAGGTCGGAGCCAAGTCAGCCTTGTTCGCCTCTAAATCTCGGGGGGCCAGAACAATGCCTGGCCCGGAACGGCACTTAGGAGATGGATGTGGAATGATTGATTCGTAAGACGCCGCCCGCCGTAACAGCTCCTCTGAGTTTGTGCGGCTGGGGCGGCGCAACCTCCATCGCGGCCGCCAGGGGGCGAGCACGCCCGTTTCCAGGCACATAGCCGGCCCCGTTCTTGCGGGAGGCCACCCAAGGACCCTGGGCACTCCGAACCGGCCTGGTGCCAGCGTGGGGAAGCCTTCCCCCAATGGGGCCCTGGGCCCGTCCTGCGAACGGGAGTCCTGCCAGAGGTTGGGAAGGGGATGCGGGGAGCCAGGGCCTCTGGAGTGGCCCAAGAGGGGCCCTGGCAGGGGTGGGGAGAAGGCGGTCATTGAGACCCACACCATCACCCTCCCTCACGTCCACACAGAACATTCGGTACCCAGCTGGAGTCTTGTGACCCATGCCCCCCCCACCGCGCGCACAGTTTAACACACAGAAGCATCCTGACTCGCGTTTGCACACGGAATTTGTGACACCCTGCAGGCCACGGTCATGTACAGAGAACCTGGGCACCCCCAGCTGTAACAGGAACACTCAGAGTGTTGGAAACACCTGGAGACTAAGCCACTCCTGCCCTGCAGGGTGGGACCCCGTCACACACACACACACACACACACACACGCACACACACACGCCCCACCTCTGAGCCGCACCCTGACAGCCATCCCTAGATCTGCAAACTCAGAGACATTCCCTCATCACCCTCCCAGCCTCTCAGGTTGAGAATGTGACTCGGTGACACACATCCATGGGGACAAGCTGACACGGATACATGGTGAGTGCTACATATTAGGTGACACACACCCACCCAGCTAGCACTGCCAAGTCCTCTGCTCAGTAACAGCACGTGGGCTTGCTTCTCACGCTGCACAGGCATAGGAAGTGTCCACGCGCGCACACACGTGCACACACATGCACACACACACATTCTTTCACACTTCTGATCATGCTGAAGAGGTCCAAGCCCTGATCCCGACTAATCTCACTCCAGCCCGGGCCTATCCCTGCCACACTCAGCCATGCCAGGCCATGGTGGACCCTGGTGGGGGCTGGAAGCTGCTGAGGAGACTCCCGTGGGGGGTGTGGCACCCCCACTGGCCAGGAGGGAAGCAGAGGCCGGAGGTCCCGGGGTGGGGCGGCCTGAGCTCATCAGATTCCAGCCTGAGTGATTCACGGGAAGCGCCCGGGAAGGATCTGCGAGGGTGGGGGTAATGACCCAGGGGCTGGGGCTTTGGGGGCCCGGGTTGGCTTCAGACTGGAAAGGGTCTTGGGTCCAAAGCAAGCCTCTAGTGCTGGAGGGGGCTTCCTGAAGGGTGGCCCAGCCTGAGGGGTGTCTGCAGGGTCTGGCCCCTGGGAGGGGCTCAGGACACGGAGCTGAGCCCGCAGGATGAGACAATTGGCCACTCCCTCCCTCCCCACCCCGGGCCTGGGCCCCAGCCCCAGCAGCTGGGTGTCTTTAGCAGGGGTTAGGCCAAGGGTGGGGGGCAGGGGTGGGGTGACCTTCACAGCCATCTTGGTCCCTGGGGCCTTCAGACCGGCAGCCGTACTGGACCCCAGAGACCCTGAAGGGCGGGAGCCGGCTGGCCCAGTCGGGGCTGACAGGGTTACAGACCCTCGCTGCCCTGCCAGGCGAGGCTTCTGCCAGAGAGCCAGAGCCGAGAACACAGCGCCAGGGATGTTTTCCTGCTGAGATGGAGCCCCCTGCTCCTGCCACCTCCTGAGCCCCCTGCCTCCCCGGAGAGGCTGATGCTCGGAGGACCCGCTCCTGCAGGGTGACAGGAAGACAGGATGGGGCTGGAGGCAGGGGTTGCAGGAAGTGCCTTTCTTGGAACTTGGTACCAAAATAGCCTGTTCTGTCCCTACTCTAGATCTCAGTGTCCCACGGGGGAGATAAGTGTCACCAAGGAGACCCTCACCAGGGAGGGGCCTTAGCTGACCTTAATCAAGCTTTGGCTCACCACCCCTCCCCTCTCCTACCCAGACCAGCCCCCACCAAGCCCGCCTCAGGCTCTGCTCTGCTTTGAAGTCCTAACATAAATATCATGTCTGCTTGGGTTCCCCTTCCCGGCCTGGTCACAGCCCCCAGACCTGGCTCCCACCCCAGCCAGCCCTGGGGGTGCGTACCGGGGGGAGAGGAGGGAGGCCTGGACCACCCAGGGAAGGGGGCGAGCCAGAGACGCTGGAACAGCAATGGGGAGACAGGGCAGGC